ACCTAAAAACTCAGTGACCTAACTACTGTGGTACATGGTAGCACAAACTACACATATGGCATCAGTGTACGCCACAAAAACAAACAATGATAGACGACACTACACAGCACAGTATGAAAGGCCTGCACGATGGTTCCAAAGACTGAAACGTAGGTAAGAAGAGAATTGTGGTCTTAGGGTTTGGCTCCCCTTGAAGACATACTGACCCAGGTAAGCCTTCCAGGAAAAGCCTAGTTTAGACTAGGGACACTTAGAAATATGTAATGATTTTAGGTGACTTCCTTTCAATGACTAAGAACTAGGAATGACATATCCAACAATAATAGTCCCACCCCAAACGCCAAAAGTTTCCTCTGAGAAGAAACCACAAGTCTCTGCGTGTCCCCAGTTCCAGATGCTCCATCGACAACCCTTACCGGGTTATGAAGTACCAGCTCCTTCAGAGCTTGTACATCCTCATTGAAAGTAGCCGACATGAGAAAAGCCTGGTAAATCCGAGGCAAGTGGCTGAAAGACAAAACAGGGCCTGATCAGGCTCCAAGTCCACCCATCCCACTCCAGTCCCAAGTCTGGACTCTCGGAGGTTCCCACTAGGAACTACTTCCGTTTCTTCCTTACCAGAGAAGACTCTTGAGTTCGTCCTCAAAGCCAAAGGAAAACAGAAGGTCAGCTTCGTCTACCACCAGCAGCTCCAGGGAGTCACGGAGTTTTAGGTTGTCCTGCTGCAACTGGCTTAATATTCGGGATGGGGTGCCCACCACCACATCTGGCTTCTCCATCAACATAGCTCTGCAAGGGGGAAAGTTACGGGTAGGGAGATGTTAGCAGCCAGAAACTCACCACGGCTTACCTGCCCTGTCTTCGCTACTCACAAGACCAAAGCCACATCTTTGCATAGCTTTGTTCCTTTAGAACCCCGCAGCTGTCACCCACCTCTGAGAAGCGGAGTCTTCGGCAGCTGAGACATTAGCCACTCGGACATCACGAGCACAGTAGGCGGCCAGCTGCTGGATCATGGACTGGGCCTGCCTGGCCAGCTCCTTAGTGGGAACAAGGACAAGGCCTCTGACAGCTTGCTCCGTTACAGGACCTGTCTGCAAGAGCATAAATTAAGGACTGTTAAAAGTACTGATGAACTCTTAATTCTGCCCACCACAGGACGCAGAATAGAGAGCTCTCCCAGGCGCTGAAATTTAAAAACAACTTGCTTCATGTCTGAAATTACTCAGCACATACTAGGTATGGAGCTGATGTGCCCTCTCTAGATTAAAAAAAAAGGTTTCTTTAGGATTACAGTAAGAGCAGGGTGTGGTGGTGCCTGCCTATAATCCCAGCATTCAGGAGGCATAGGTAGGCGGATCTCTGTGAGTTCTAGGCCTGCCTGGTCTACAGAGTGAGTGCAGGACAGCCAAGGCTACACAGAGAAATCATGTCTTGAAAATGAAAAAAGATTACAATAAGGCTGGTGATAGCAGCAGGAAGGCCTGGGTTGTGTGCCAGGTAACCTGAACTCAGGCTCAAGAGTTCATGCCGCAAATGGGCTAGGTTCTCTGTGGCCCGCCTAACACGGTTTAAGGACCAACAGAAACCGTTTCACAGGTGAGCATTTCCCTCCTCAGCCTTCTTCCCTCATGCCCACCGCCCCTCTCGGTACCCACCGCCTTCTTGTGGAGAAGCAACTGCAGCATCGGAATAGCATAAGCTGCCGTCTTCCCCGAGCCTGTGCGGGCGCGGGCCAAGAGGTCCTTCCCCTCCAGCGCCAGAGGTATGGCCTTTTCCTGGATCAGCGTAGGACGCGACCAGCCCAAGTCTGTGACAGCCTAAGAAGGAAGAGGAGCACACAGCTCAAGAGGCGCGAAGTGCGGCGGCACGCCGGGTCCCAGCTCCGCAGCCTTCCCCGTACCTGCAGGAGCCGGGGATCCAGCCCCATGTGTTCAAACCCCAGCGCTTCTTGGTCCTCCATGGCGTGCCTTCACGCTGACTGTGCGCACGCGTGGGGCAGGACAAATCAACAACCAATCAGCTCCGGAGGAGACGTCACTTCCGGGAAGGTCTTTGGCGCGGCCGTCTGGTGCGGCTACAAACCTGTGGTGTTGTGCTGCGCGCTGGAGCGCCCTCCAGATCGTGGGTGGCTCTTCTCTGTCGCCCCAGCCTGCCCCGACGCACAGGGTGGCGTGGGCAGGACTGTGCCTGCTACGTTCTGGTTAGGATCCGACCGCGTTCTGCCTGAGAGGAGGCAGCAAAGCCCATTGGGAGGCACTGAGAGGCGGCTGTAGGGCTGCGGATGCTAAACCTTGCCTCCCCTTAGGCACATGCGCAGAGGAGTTCTGTGGGTAACTAGAGTGTGAGATTAATCTGACTGGGCTGAAATCACAGCAGAGTGCTGACCTACTAAGATAAGTTGTATCAGACCTCTAGCTGATATGAAGACTCACAGACCCTGCCATACGCCCTGCAGTCTTTCACTGCTCGCAGAGGAGCCTAGTTAGCCTGACCCCTTCCTGGGATCTGGCATTCCCAAAAAACCAAATTCAGTCAGAGGTTGTTATCACATACTAATGAGACTCATTGCAGAATCCCATTACCCGGCCATGTCCTTGGGACCTTTTTATTCTTCCGTTTTATTATTTATTATTTTATTATTTTATTATTTATTCTGTTTTATTCTTTTTATTCTTCTTCTACAGGGTCTCAGTATGTAGTGACTGGCCCGGAACTTGGTAGGCAGACCTGACTGGCTTTCAACGCAGATATTCTGCCTCCTGAGTGCTGGGATTAAAGGCATGCACCACCACAAGCGACTTCCCTGGGATCTCTTAAACACCCTCTAAAGCCGGAAATAAAATATGTCCTTGAATCTAGCTAGGTGATGTCAGCCAACCTTGGGCCCATTTCTTCTGGGCCTGCCCCAACCACTTTCATCACAAGAGACCTTAAAAGAACTCTGCTCCCTCCCGAGCCGATTGATGCCTTTCTTCACCTTGCCATTCGGGCTCTTTAATAAACTGCTTTTCCGAAGGTCACCGAGGCTGGTCTCCCAAACATAACAATATGTTCTTTTAAGCCATTCTGGTAACTATTGTTAGAGCAATATTAGAAGAGAGATTGGTGGGGCCTTTTTACCAACAGTCTTATTTACAATGACTGTGTATTAAGAACGGGAAAGCACTCCTGATAATGAGAATGGGCTGAGCTGAAGGAAAGATCAATAAAGGGTCTTTCAAAGTGGGAAAGTGACCTCTTTGCTAGCATGTGTGATGCCTTAGCCTCACTTCTCAACTAGTAGCAAAGGAGAGTCAAAATGGAAGTCTAAGCCGAAGAGCGACCAGGCAGGACTAGAACCTAACTGCCAAGGGGCTAGAATCTTGCACCTGTGATTACAGTGGGCTCATCCTGTAGAGCGTGGTTCTCAATCCTCATGCTGTGGTGACCCACGACCTTAAAATTATTTCATTGCTACTTCATAACTGTAATTCTGCTACTGTTATGAATCATGATGTAAAATATCTGTGCTCTCTGATGGTCCTAGGTGACCACTGTGAAAGGGTCACTTGACCCCCCAGAGGGGTCACAACCCACAGGTTGAGAACCGCTGATCTACACTAACTCCATACTTTAAGGTGATCGATTAGCAATCTTTGCCATGTTGGGTGGCAGTCTCAACTTTCAGGGTTAAAGATATACATTTGGAGCAGTCATTTTCCTGCCTACGATACACCTCACATACAAGCCTGCATTGAGACCTGCCTGAGTGCTGCCAGGTATCTCCAAGGGGGAGTGGGGGGTGGAAGGGAATCAGCCAGAAAAACCCTGCTTGTTCACTGAGATGTGTGCTCCAGTGTGTGTATTGTTGGACAGACCCATCAATGCCTGGCCTTTTCCAGCCTCTTACTCTCTCAGGCCCAGTCTCTACTTTGCTGGCTAGAATTCCTAAGACAACAGAACAGTAATGTGTTTCTCCTAAAGAGCCTCATGTTATAGGTCTACACATCTAAGTCATTAAAAAGATGCCTTATTTCTGGGCATGTTGGCACACACTTATAATTCCAACACTTAGGAGGCAGAGCCAAGAGTTTTTGACTTAAAGACCAATATAAGCTCCACCTCAAGACTGAAAAAACAAAACAAATTCAAGACATTCTCTTAGCCAAGCATGATGGCACAGGTCTTTAATCCCAGCACCCTGCTGGCAGAGATGGGCAAATTTCTGTGAGTTCAAGGTCATCCTGGTATACAGCAAGGCTATGTATAGATGTCCTGTCTCAAAAAACTGAAAACAAAATGACTGTTAAAATCTAACTTCTCATACTAACTCTAACCTGAAGAAAACTGCAAAACTATTTTAAGCAGCAGAGGAATTTTTCTGGTGGTTAAGTGACCACCAGAAAATCAGAAATAAGGATATGTAAAACTTTTTTTTTGCCTTCTTTCCAAACTAAAAAAAACTGCATAGACTCCAAGTGTAAAATAGGTTCATATATAGTAGAGTACACTGAGAAATAACAAGGGGAGAGTTTAATTCTACAAGTCAGAAAAAGAAATTTAATAAATATTCCAAATAAATATATAATAAAACTATGAAATAAAATATCAAGAATGGTCAACTAACAGCATGAATTTTATACAGAAGGGGGTGAGGGACGTGCAGGGAGAGCTGTTTATGAGCCAGGAGCTAAGAACCCAACTGTTTTTTTTAAGTTCTTTGCTGACCCTTACCTACTAGGGTGAACGTTCAGAGTGATTAAGCCATGATGCCATCCACTCCTGGGCCAAGGCTCAGCATGAGCGCCCACTGACGTCTACTCTAGGTTTTCTACAAGGGCAAGCAGTCTAGGCCAGTGACCTTCCCTCCACTTTCGCCACCCCTTTTTTGGCCTCAACTCTGCCCACAACCTATTATTTCATATCAAACATGGCTACTATGTTTTATTTCACTGGAAAAAAAAATCTGCTTAAACTAGCAAGATCTGGTTCCTGTGAAGAAAATCTTTAGTCAGGTGTGGTATCACATGCCTCTTTAATTCACAGCATTTGGTAGGCAGACACGTGGATCTGAAGCTAGTCTCGTCTACATGTGGAGTTCGGGTCAGCCAGAGTGAGAGTGAGGCTGTCTCCAAGACAGAAAAGAACCTACGAAACGTTTACCACCACTTAGGAAAAACTTGAGGGACCAGTGCACTGCTCCAAGTCGTCCTGTCACTCTTTCCCAACTTTGGGACCCTGGGGGATTGGACTTACAAGTGTTCAAGAGGACCCTTCTTGGACTTCTAACATGGACTTGTGAGTAACTAGTGTATCTGCTTTCTGGTCCTAGACTGCCAAAATCCTGAGCACTGAATGGCAGTTATTAAAAATGTATATAACTAAGTAGAATGCATAAGGTCTGGATTGGTGTTTTTTGGCTAGTTACAGGCAGTAATGATAATTCACTCGGGAAGGAAAATATATAATTTATCCAAAAATAGTTCTAAAATATAGAAAAACATCTCAATCCTTCAGGGCCAAGAACTGCCCCTTATTTACATTCACAAAGCCATTGGGAGAACTCAGGACTGACCCAGGAACATTGAGGCAGGGCCTCCTCCATGGGCACACCAGTTGCCTACTGTACAAGCAGACAAAGAGAAAACAGAGGAGCATTTAGTCATCTCTTCAAAACCAGAGGAGAGTCACCAGAAGTGAAAGAAATGACTGGGTCAATTCTAAGTTCTCCCAAAGCCTAAGACAGATTTTGAAAGCTTGGACGAATGTCTGTTTCTTGGGGAACCTGGATCAAAGGTAGCTGATCTGAATGGCTTATTGCCATGAGATCAACGTGACACACTCTTTTTTCATTTTTTCCTCCTCAAAATCCAGGTGGACAAGGGGCTTGGGGGGAAATTATCAAATAATTGAGGTAAAAGGGAAAGGTTATACGGCAAGAGGCCTACACCAGCTTCTTGGCCTCAAAGAAGCTCTTGAGGTGACGCATCTGCCAGATGCCAGTGAGGATGAGGATGACGGTCTGGGTGATGGACCACCACAGGACCCTCTGGTTGGTGCTCTCACTGGTCAGACGGAAGCGCTCTTCACGATACTGCATAAGACAGAGAGCAAAGGATTAGAACGGGTAGGAAAACAGAACCTGCTATTATAAGGCCCCTCCATTTGTGTGACTGCCCAATTCCCAGACCAAATGCCTCTGGAATACCACCTGCAATTCCATTCAGTGGCTAGTCTCCCCACTGACACTGCCCCTAGGAAGGAAAGTGATGTCCTCTACAAAAATTTCTGTTAGGATTCAAATCACACTTCTACAGTAAGAGCCCATGGAGAACAAGCAAGCAATAGGTTCGCACAATTTAGAAATAACTATACAGGCGGTGGTGGCGGTGCATGCCTTTAATCCCAGCACTCCAGAAGCAGAAGCAAAGAGATCTCTCTCTGGGATTTTGAGGCCAGCCTGGTCTATAAAGGGAGTCCAGAACAGCCAAGGCTACACAGAGAAATCCTGTCTGGAAAAACAAAACAAAACTATATAAAGCAAGATGAGGTCTATACATACAACCATCTATTATTCAACCTTAAAAGGAGAGTTCTACAGCTGGAGTAGTGGCACACACACTCAGGAGGCAGAGGCAGAGGCAGAGGCAGGCAGATCTCTGTGTTCAAGACCAGCATGGTCTACAGAGCAAGTTTCAGGACAGTCAGAGCTACACAGAGAAACCCTGTCTCAAAGGACAAGGGGACAGTGATAGTTCTACAGGCATGAAAGATGACCCAGTGTTTAAGAGCTCATACTCACAGAGGACCTAAGTTTACTTCCCAGCATCCATGTCAGATAGCTCACAACCACCTGTAACTCTAGCTCCAGAGGATCTGACACCTTCCGGTTCCCACAGATGATACCTGGACTCACACGCACATAAACTCATATATACATATATATACAGAATTGATAAGAAAACATCTTTAAAGGAGTGCAGCATGATAGAGTTCAGAGCCATTATCTAGCATGTGTGATGTCCTAGGTTCAATTTCTAGCACTGCAAAAAAAAAAAAAAAAAAAAAAAAAAAAAAAAAAAAAAAAAAAAAAAATACACACACACATAAAACAGAGGTCTGACAAACTAAAAGACAGATAAACCCTGGACTCACTGTGCTAAATGAACTAAGACAGTCACAAAAGGATTCCACTTAGCTGAGTTAGAATGATCAAAACTATAGGCAAAAAAGTAGAATAGCAACATGATAGGTGGAGAGTCAGTGTTTAACACTAATTAGGATCACAGCAAGAAATCAAAACTGCAGTTTGGGAAATAGGATGTTCGATGGGTTCAGAGTCTCTGGGAAGGTGAAAGTTAGGCAGATAGATGGTAGTCAGAGCTGCAACACAATATGAATCTACTTAATACCATAGTACTGCACACTTAGAAACAGTTAAAATGCTAAGTTTTCTATGTATTTCATAACAATAAAAAATAAATCAAAGAGTCTACGGCTATAGTACCCTGAACACTTGAGATCTGATCTCAGAAGCTAAGCAAGGCCAGGACTGGTTAGTACTTGGATGGGAGACCACCTGTTAAAACATATATATGTAAATCGCTATAATTACATATAAATGTTCTGTTTGTAATTATAAATAATATAATTATAATAAATATATAATTATATATGCATAAAACACACACACATATGATATGTAAAGGTATGGCTCGATGGTAGAGATCTTACCTCACATTCAGGTGAGGCCCTGGGTTCAAGCCTCAGCACTGCAGACATACACATAAAGTTGGGAGAGGGGGGATGGACCAAAACCAACTTCACCAATGTAGACTGATCACTCCCACTTCATCCTCTGAAAAAACCATCTCCCAAGTAGGGAAGGATCCAGCACAAACGTTTGCACAGTGGGTTTAAAGGTCAGATGCAGCCTCCAAGCACAAGGCGATACACGCCCTTACCCTCTGATAATCCTGCTCCTTCTGGATCTGTTCCACCTGATCAAGCAACTGTCGAGCACGAAGCTGTAGCTCTGTTAGCTTATCCTTAGCAGCAATCTCAGGGTAGTTGTTGGCATGCTCCCCAACCTGGATGTCCAAGTGTACTCGCTACAAGGAAACAGGACTGAATGGGTGGGTGCTGGAGTCTGTTTCCTGTCTCTGGCAAGCCTGGTTTCCCCAGTTCTAACTGCTACGCCCACCTGCTCCCCCAAAAAGGCAATACTAAAATAAAGAAAGAAAGAAAAAAAAAAAAAGGCGGCTATAAGTCAACTCTGGAATCAAGTGAGAAACTCGAAGACTGATGAGCCTCTTACCAGTTTGCCTCCAGCGAAGAGAGCCATCCTCGTGGAGTTGGAGTGTAGACAAATCTGATGGTCTCCGGGTGTGTGGGAAGTGAACGTGAAGCGCCCCTCAGAGCCATATTGCCGGGACAGTACCACCTGCAAGACGCATCAAGCCCCAAGTTTACAACGTCTCAAAATGCAGACCTGGTACCTAGGGAGACTTCTACTCAGGGCCACGGAGGTCCTTTACATCCGGTAAGGACATTAATGGCAGCTAGGGCTTTCCCAGCGGGGACGGGGGCGCTTGCCTTGCTGTCCGGGTCCTTCACCTCTACATGCATGCCCAGGCCAGGGGTCGACGGCAGGAAGACCTCCTTCTGCTTGTCCCACATCTGGGTTCGATAGTTGCCTGTGGGGCAGATACACAGTCACGACCTGGCCCGCAGCAAGCAGCCCCGGGGTGCTGGGCAGGGGACCTGGCGCCCTCAAGGCACTCTCTGGATGGGGGCGAGCTGACAGGGAAGGAGGGGCGCTTCCGAGGGCCAGGCGAAAACAAAGGGCCTCTCCACCCTCAGCCCCCTGACCGATGACCATGGTCTCGTCGGGTATTTCTTCGATGAAGCAGCGCTTTTCAGTCTCGCCGATGTGGAAATACAGCCCACGGGTACCCGCAGCACACACAGTAAGCACCAGCAGCGCCAACCGCACCATCGCCGGCTGCCGCCGGACCCCGACACCTGCCATCGCGCCTCAGCCTCGCGCATGCGCACGCTTGCGCATTGCTCAGCGTTTGCGCTGTGGCCTGGAAACGGAAAGTGCGCCTGCGCAGTAGTGCGAGCCCGCGGCTTCCTTACCCTGCTACGTCCACCACACACTGGACCCCAGACTCCAGTCTTGCAGTGCTTTGCGCCTGAGCGCCTCTTCGCGTAGTCTAAGGTTACAGAGAGTAAGCTCCTGTGCAGTGACGTTGCCCGAGGGTTTTTATGTCCCCTGTTGTTAGGCTTAAGTGCCCTTGTCGAAGTACTACTCTGTGCCTGCGCACTGCGGTCTGTGTAAGGAGGCGCGAGAATACTTTCAGAGTGGGGAGCGGTGGCTCACGCTTGTCATCCCAGCACTAACGGAGGCAGAAGCAGGCAGATCTCTGTAAATTCGAGCCTTGGCTGGTCTACAAAACGAGTCTAGGACAGGCAGGGTTACACAGAGAAACCCTGTCTCGGAAAAAAAAAAAAAAAAAAAGAGCACTTTCGGTGTAGGGTGCTAGAAGACCTTATGAGTTTGGACTCCTCCAACACACAAGCTGGTTAGCCCCTAGGCTAGGCCTAAACAGTGTTGATTTCTTGTCCTCAGTGCCCGAAGTCAAGTAAACCCTTCTCATGAAACACATTTGTGTCCTTTCAGCATTGCAGGACTTATTGAGTAATAATAAATTCACAAGTTAGCTTCGTTGGCTACAACTTGCCAAGCAGTATCAATTTGGCAAGCACGTGGAGTTTTTTGTTGGCGTGTTTTTGGACAGGCTCTCAAGTGTCCAAGGTTGGCCTGGATTTTGCTACTTAGCCTATATAGCTGTGACTCTTCTGTCTCTGCCTCCTGAGCAGCGTGTTCTCACACCTGGTGCTGCTGGGTTGCTGAGGGTGGCGCTTTCCGAAAGTTGGCCAAGCGCTCTACCAACAGAGCTACCACCAGCCCAAACAAAGGTTCTTTTTATTCCATCTTAACTACCATCTCTCAGGTCACGCTTTATACATCATACTGTGATTGGGTCTAGGTATTTGTCTTCACATCAGTTGTCAACTTGACACAACAGGGAAGAGGGAACCTCCATTTAGGACTAGCCTCTATTGGACGGGCTTATGGGCTTGTCAATGGGCATCTTCTTGTTAGTTGATGAAGGAGAGACCACTATGAGTGGGAGCATCCCTGGGCAGGTGGTTCTGGCTTCTGTAAGGAAAGTAGCTGAGCAGGCCAGGGGAATCAAGCCAGGAAGCAGCACTTCTGCATGGTCTCTGCTTCAGTTCCTGCCTCCACGTTCCTGCCTTAAGTTCCTGCCCTGGCTTCCTTCAGTATGGACTGTAACCTGTAAACCAATAAACCCTTTCCTCCCCAGATGCTTTCTGGTCATTGTATTTATCAAAGCAACAGAAAGTATACTAGAACTCTGTGTGTGTGTGTGTGTGTGTGTGTGTGTGTGTGTGTGTGTGTGTGTTTTAAAGAAAAGGTGCAAAAGGTTTAAAAGGATATATCAGAATTCAGGAAGTTCAAAGGGGTCTTAATGGGAGGCAGAGACATAGCGTTAACAGAGACACAGTCACTACAGTGGCTCTGTTAGGTTACCTGAACCAGTCACAAAGCTGTTGGAGCTGTTAGAGCTGAGCCATAGAGCTGAGCCAGGCAGAAGCAGAGGGGAAGTGGGGAACCCCAAGACCATGCATACGAAGTTCAGGAGATGAGTAGCAGTGGAGACCAGTTCAGCTGAACCCTGGGGGCTGTTCAGTAGTCCCTTGCCTCCCAGTCCCTTATAATATACCCCCGGAATGAGCCAGCAGGTCAGTAAGGCAGTTGCCATTGCAGCGCCAGGTGAGGATGTTGGTCCCTGACTCAGTCTGATATGTGTGGTAAGTTCTTGGCCTTGGTTTCCTGATACTGTGTGTGTGTGTGTTTAACACACCAGAGCATTCACATGGTTCCAATCCAGTTTGGTAAGTTTATAGACAGCACTTTAAGGAATACGTGTTTACTGATCTATGTTCGTGGGTGGTACTAGGCAGGTGGTAGTGTCTGTGTGCACAGTGAGGTGCAGAGTCATCATATTTCTGCAAGGTGCCAAACGTTTACAGCCATGAAATGGAGTGACTCGGGGAAAGCTACAGCCCCAAAGCCACAGCTTTACACAGTATGGGGTAACTTAGAGCAGGGCCAGCCGACTCTGTAAGAGCCCCAAATCTCCTGAAAGCCTAAGGTAGCTCAAGTTTAGGAACCCTTCAGAAGAAAGTAGCAACTTAAGCCAGATATGGTAGTACATGCCTTTAATCCCAGAACTCTCAAGGCAGAATCAGGAGGGTCTCTGTGGGGCTAACCTGGTCTACATATCAGCTTCCAGGACAATCAGTTCTATAGAGAGAGACCTATCTCAAAAACAAAAACAAAACTAGTGGTTTGGATTTTGACATAAAAATCTTCTGACTTTTAGATCTAAGTATCTGACTCAACCTTTATCTGCTGGAATAAACAATAAAACACAATGTACCAACATGGAAAGCAATCAGGTAGGCTGGGGATGGTGGCACATAAGGTTAATTCCAGTACTTAGTGGGCAGAGTTCTGTGAGTTCAAAGCCAGCCCTGGTCTACATACAGTTCCAGGAAAATCAGTGCTACATAGATCCTGCCTAGGGAAAACAACAACAACAACAAACCTGCCATCTAGAAGAGCTAGCAAAATGGCTACCAGGTAAGCCTGATAACCTGAGTTCTCTCCCTAGAATCTACGGTGAAGAGGGAAATAGTAACAAATTAATAATAGTAACAAATTAATAAAGATTAAATGAAATAAAGTAAGCAGGTGGACCGCTTGAGATCTCTGTCAAAATCCAGGGGAGGGCAGTTCCAAGAGGATCTGACTTTTTCTTCTAGCCTCCTCGAGTGCCACATACATGTGGTACACATGCAGGCAAAACCCATATATACATAAAAATAAATCTCAAAAAATGTTAAGCAGAACAAAGTCGTACATGTCGGTGTACGCCTTTAATGCCGTCATGTAAGGAGCAGCGGCGGGCGAGTGTGGTGGCTCACGTGGAGGCACATGATTGTAATCCCGTTTCACACGAAGGTCTCTGGGGCTTGGACCAGCCAGTCTAGACTGACTGGCAAGCCTAGCTCCCAGTTAGACACCCTGTCTCAAAAACCAAGGTAGGGGCTGTCAAGAGTTCAGCAGGTGCCCTTGCTGCCAAGCTGGAGGACCCGAGGTCAGTCTCCAGTGTCCACATGACAAAATCAACGTCTGAAGGTCGTTCTCGAACTTGTGGGCCATGGCACATATACACGTGTGCTTCCCCACACACATACACGCTAGATAAGATGTAATTCAGAAAATTGAAAGCTACAACAAAGTGGCTAGCAGTCCTGGGGAAACAGAGGTTGATATTAGATGTCCATATAACAACTATACACACATGTACATAAACATACACCCGTACACACACATAAGAAGGAAGTTTACCTCAGGCAATCTGATTCGTTTTTCTTCAGAGACTGCAGCAATTTTGGTCAATGTTTCTTGAAGTTCTTTGTCTAAGCTGGTCCTTTCCATTCCTCACCCAGCCACTGTACGAGGCAAGGCCATGTTCAAGGGAAACAGTGACCAGGACACTTCTCAATTTTTGTCTGCTGATACATAACAAAAATAAATAAGTATACAGAAGGTCACCTGCAGATGATTGTCAAGAAAAAAATAAGGTACAGGAAAGGAGACAGAATCCGTCACATTATATGATGGCTCACAAAATATACACATATGTATTAATTCCCCAAACATTTTTTTTAATTGTGTATGTGTGTGTGTGTGTGTGTGTGTGTGTGTGTGTGTGTGTGCCTATACACACTTGTATACATAGAGGTCAGATGACAACGTTTGAGAATCAGTTCTCGCCTTCTATATGGGATCCAGGAGCAAAACTCAGGCCATCAGGCTTGGGGGTCAAATGCCAAGACGAGCCATCTGGCCTGCCCAAATACCTATTAACTAAATATATATATAATTTTATTTTATGCGTCTGTGTATTTTGCCTGCACAGTGAAATTCTATTAAAAGAAAAGGTGGGAGGGGCACAGTGGAGAGATGGCTCAGGGGTTAACAGCACTAACTGTTCTTCCAGAGGACCTGGAAGACTCCCAGCACTCACAGGGTGCTTCACAACCATATGTAACCCCAAGTCTAGGGGATCGGATATCTTCTTCCAGCTTCCGCATGAGTACAAAGCATCCATGTACATAAAATAAGTTCATACTAGTCCTTTCACCAGTCCCCTCAGGCCTCTAGATGCCTGACTTTAACCATCACATTTGGTAAACGTCTAGATTTAAAGAAGCGAGAGAGGGGCTGGAGAGATGGCACGGGCTGCTCTTGCACAGGTTCTGGGTTCAGTTCCCACCTTTCACTAAGTTCCAGGGAATCTGAAGCCCTCTTCTGACCTCTAAGGACAACAAGCATGTGATGAACTTACAATCAAGTAACAATCACTAAATAAAATAAAACACAAAAGAAAGGATGCTGAGCAAGACACTAGTGGCTCACACATTTGGTCCCAGCACTTGGAGGCACAGGCGGGTGGGTATCTGTGAGTTCCAGGCCAGCCAGCTCTATAGAGCAAGATCTAGAACAGCCAGGACTACACAGAGAAACCCTGTCTCAAAAAACAAAACAAAACTTAAAACAAACAAACAAAACAAGGAGTGCAAGCCAGTAAACTTTGGGTATCTGGGTCACTTCCTACTTGCAGGTTCCTGTCATGATTCTTAGCCTGACTTCCCTCCATGATAACTTCCCTCCATGTAACTTGTAAGCCAAATAAAACAAACTTTTTACCCCGCAAGTTGTTTTTGGTAAGCAGTTTGTCTATTTGATTTTAATTTTTTTTTACATTTATGTATTGTGTGTGTGTGTATGCCACATGCATGTTGCAGTACACAAATGGACATTGGCAGACAATTGGCAGGTATTGGTTTTCTCCTTCTACCTTGTGGATCCCAGAGATTGAACTCAAGTCAAGCGTACTTATCTCCTTTGTCAGTGTTTTATCATGTGTTTCATCAGGGCAGCAGAAAACAAACTAGGACGGTACCTAAACTGTCACAATAAATACCAAGCAAGAAGGAGATGGCTTCTTTATTAAGCCATGAACTGTTGATATAACAAAGTAATTGAGGGTGAGTAACTTTATAAATAAAAGGTTTATTTAGTTCACCGTTCTGGAAATTTGTGACTTCCGTAGCAGTTGTGTTGCTCAGCTCTCTGAGGACTCAGGATGGATGGCCTCATGGCGATGGGAATGCATGTAGAAGAAGGATTATCCCTCAAAGGAAGAAGGCAGAGAAAGGGATTAGGGATTGATTGCACTCCTAATTTGTTTATGAATCCCCACCAAGTTCTAACAGCTGTTGGGGGTTGGTCTGGCGCTCTGTGTGTCAGATGCTGAAATCTGGGCCCTGTGATATGGTTGCAATCGAGGGCATTATCATGTACATTGATCAATCTTACGTAAACTTTGCTCCCAATTATCTCTGATTGGTTAATAAAAAGCTGGACAGTCTATAGTTGGGTGAGAGAGACTTCCCATAGCTGTGTGGGACTTCTGTTGCTGGTCTTGGGATCTCAGGCAGGGATCGTGAGGGAAGAAGAAAGAAGAGGAGGTAGAGAAAGGATGTGGTGAGAAGCAGTGACCTGATGGAACAGAAACAGCCCAGGCAGGCCAGATATGGCAAGTATCTCAGGGCACATGGCTAGGAAGTAGCAAGACTAACATAGATCCTTACTATAAATTGATATCTGCCCAGCTGTGGTGCCTAAAGCTTACCAGTAAATCTTATGAGTCTCTGTCCCATTTATTTGGGAGCTAGAATGGGTGATTAGAAAAAGCCCCCAAAATATAAATAGTCTTACAAACTGTTTTGTTTTGTTTGGACTACATAAGGCTCTCGTGTAGAGCCGACTACCCCTAAACTCACTACAAATAAGAGGAAAGCCTTGAATTAATGATCTTCCTGACTCCGCCTCCCAAGTGCTGGGATTGCAAGTATGTGCCACCATATCCAACAAAACCTACTCTTAAAAGTTCTGCTTGCTGGCTGCACTGAGGGAGGATCTAGCTTCCAACACACAAAATCCTGGAAGACAAACCACAGCAACTTCCCCAATTACGTCCACCAAACAGTCACCAAAAGAAACAGCATCGGTTTTCCTTAAAGTCTTGAATTGGGGTGAAGAAACACTGAGAGGAACCCTTCAGGTGGCCATGTCAGGCAGGGAAGCAAACTGCAAAGAGCTTTGTTCAGATTGACTTCATCAACCTGGGAGAAACTTCAGAGAGTCTGATGCGAGGCACTTTATTCTCAACGATTTAAACTCAGTATAATCTGAAAACAAGTTTTCTGGTGTAATACAATCACCAGTGCCCAAGGAACCGTAACTACATCAAAACTCAACTCAGGGTACATGTCATTTCTCCCAAGAGATAGGCTATCTTCTGGAGACAGGCTATCTGTGCTAGCTTCAGGACCTACGGAAGGATCTGTCCTGGTCTTGCTTGTATGTGGGGCTCTGCTGGATAAGGTTGAAGTTGTTTGTCTCCAGATAGGCAATTATTTGCACTTGGTCTAAGATGATAGACTCCCTTTTCTCAGTGGGGTTTTAAAAGTCTCCCCTGATCTGGGTGACCCCAGGTCTTATAAGGAGCATCACATAGCCCTCAGGGCAGTGTAGGCTTAGGTTTTTCACCAAACCTACTTTATTTGGGGTTCTTAAACACCTTTACCTCCCTTCCAATGCCCCCTACCTTAGACAGGAGATTAGTAGGGAAGAGGGGTGTAGACCTCTGTAATCTACTTCCTGCTGATTATGGTTGATGGGTCTTAGGGGATTACCAGAGTTAGTCATCAGGGTACTAACAGTCCAGTCCAAAGGCCAACACCAAGCAGCAACAAAAATCAGCATGACAAGTCAGCAAAAGCCTCAGACTCAGTCGGATTGCCCCGAGAAGTTCTCTGGAACGTTTCTCTCTGCAAAGTCAAGTGTCAAAGAACAAAGATCAGCACAGCAATGGAGATTAAAAAAAAAAATAGTGATCCTTCAATGTGTCCTATATATCTCCTCTCCTCAGAGTCCACTCACAAATGTTCTCAGCTGGCCAAGTCATGCCCCTCAAATGAGAGGGCTCACAGCAAACTATCGTGTGCCCTCTCACAAGTCAACTTCCAGCAAAACATCACATTGACCAGCTTGCCTGCATCTCTGCTGCAAGCTGACCAGGAGTGGGCTTCAGCTCACACCTCATAGCAGTTTAACCAAGAGTTGTGACACGTTGGTATCACCATAGGCTTTGGAACACCTGAACTTCCATACTAGTGACCTCAAGCTAAAAAGAGCTAAACTGTAACACTCTGTGGCAAACCTTTTCCACATCCTGGTTGAGCGCACTCAGGCCTCACCCTAAGGTGCTCTATCTGCGCCTGAGAGAAACGAAACCCCTGTTCTCCATCTGGAAGCTGAGCTCCAGGACCCCAGCCGAGATGCAGGCCCCTGCTGAATGGAGAACAATAGTTATACAGATAGCATAGAGGTCATTTGGGCCATTAAATACCTCTGGTCCTGGTTGTGGGTGCTTAGGGGAGCTCCTGGCTGTACAAGTAACATAGGGTCAGTCATTTAGATTACTGAATATCTCTGATCTTGGCTAAAGGAACTTGATGTGGCCTGGCCCAACAGATAACACAGATCACCAAGCTGGTAATCAGCTCCAATTCCAGCTTTTTGGATGCAAGAACATGTCTCACATCCATTCCTTTGAGAGACAATCCTGTGTGCTCAATACTCCTGGTTTCTCTGGAGATTCATGGGCAGAAGGACCCCACTGTTACTGTGAAATTAAAGCTAGATAAGGACATCACAAGGAAAGAAGGATGAATATTTCTTTGGGTCAAAAATACAAAATTCTCTAACAAACTAGAAGCAAACAAATCCAACAACATCCTAAAAGGATCCCATGAGATTTATCCTATGAATGCAAGGGTAGTTGTGCAAAGCAGATTTGCTGATTGCCAAAACTCAGTGAGGACCAAAGAAGCACAAGAAGACAACAGATCGTGTGGGTTGAGGGCAAGCAGGAAGGCCCTATGAGCTCAGGAAAACTTCCTGAAGTGGGTGGAGTCTTATTTGTAGTTGACCCACTTTTACTGCAGCTGGGAGTCCAGGAAAGAATTCCACCTTAGGATATCCTAGACTGGGGACCACATGACACTTGGCTAAACACTGAAAGGCATCCTGTTTCTAAGGAAGACCGGAACCAAGCAGGTTGTTTCTGGTTATGTTCCTGTTATCATGATGTTGTGTTCTTAACACATTCTACAGTTATTTTAGGGAATTACAGTGAGGGGAGTTGTTGGACCAGTTCAAGGTTACCTGAAGACCTGTCCTTAAGTTTTAACATATGAAAATTGCCTTAGTTAGAGTAACTATTGCTGTGATAAAACACATGACCAAAGCAATTTGAGGAGGAAAGAGTTTATTTGGCTTACACTTCGACATCATAGTCCATCATTGAAGGTAGCCAGGACAGGAACTTAAACAGGGCAAGAACCTGGAGGCAGGAGCTGATGCAGAGGCTATGGAGGGGTGCTGCTTACTGCCTTGCTTCCCATGGCTTGCTCAGCCTGCTTTCCTATAGACAGGACCAGCAGCCCAGGGATGACCCTACCTACAATGGGCTGGGATCTTCCCCATCAATCCCTAACTAAGAAAATGCCCTACAGCTGTATCTCATGATAGAATTTTCTCAATTGAGTTTCCCTCCTTTCAGATAACTCTAGTTTGTGTCAAGGTGGCATAATCACCAGCCAGCAGAGAAGTCAACATGAACTATCACCTCAATAGAAAGGAGAGGAATGCATGTCTGTCTCAGCTAATGAAGAAATGGTATTGGGAACAATCCAGTAATTTTTCATGATCGATATGGTTTGAATATAAAAAGTCCCCCAGGGGTGCATGAGTGGAATGCTTGATTCCTAGCTGGTGGCTTTGTTTTCTGAAGCTCTATGAACACTTAGAGGTGTACCTAGATGGAAGAAGTAGGTAATTAGGGGTGTGCCTTTGAAGGTGCTTCCTGTCTACCATTAAGATGCCCAGGTTTCGGTTGGAGAGCTAGCTCAGTTGGTCAAATACTGACTGTGCAAGCATGAGAACCCGAGTTTGGATCAACAGTACTCACGTAAGAAGCCAAGTGCAGAGTGTACATCTGTAATCCCAATACTAGGGAGGCCGAAGCAGGAGGATTCATGGGGCTCGCTGGCCAGCCAGTTTAGTTGAACCAGTGATCTTCAAGCTTAATGAGAGGCCTTGTCTCAAAAAAAAAAAAAAAAAAAAGGTGAAGTTGGACATGGTGGTACATGTCTTTAATCCCGTGCGCTCAAGATGCAGAAGGGATCTCTGTGTGTTTGAGGCCGGCCTGGTCTACATAGTAAGTTCCATGACAGCCAGGACTATGTAGAGAGACTCTATCTTGAAACTGATACTGACTTCTGGTGCTCTCTCTCTCTCTCTCTTTCTCTCTCTCTCTCTCTCACACACACACACATACAGACACACAACAGTGGCTCCCTCTACATGCTCCCACTGCCACATTCTGCCTCACCAGAAGCCCAAGAGGACTATGAACTGAAATCACTGATGCTGTAAACTAAAATAAGTAATTCTTCCCATTAAAATAGCTTCAGATTGGGCTGGAGAGATGGCTCAGTGCTTAAAAGCACTGGCTGCTCTTCCAGAGGTCTTGAATTCAATTCCCAGAACCTATATAATGGCTCACAACCATCTGTAATGAAACCTGATCTCCTCTTCTGGTGTGCATGGAAACAGAACACTCATGTGCATCACATAAAAAAAAATAAATAAATTAGAAAAAAATAGCTTTAGATACTTGGTCACAGTGATATAAAGGTAACTAACAGAAGTGTTAAAATAATACTTAAAGTATTAAGGTTAGGGACTGGAGAGCTGGCTCAGTGGTTAATAGCACTTCCTGCTCTGACAGAGGACCTGAGTCCAGTTTTCAGGACCCACATTTGGCAGCTCAGGATTGCTTCTAATGCAAGCTCCAGGGGAATCTGCGACCTTTGCCCTCTGCGGGGATCGCTCTCAATGTGCACATACCCACACATAGACACGCACACTTTCTAGTTTGTATTTCTATTGCTATGATAAAGAGAATGACCAAGGACAAATTGGGGAGTAGAGGGTTAATTTCCGTTTATAGTCCATCATGAAGGAAAGTCAGGGCAGAAACCTAGAGCCAGGAACTGAAGCAGAGACTTTAGTGGAACGTTGCTTTCTGGTTTACTCTCTCTGGCTTGCTTCAGTGTCCTGGCTGCTATTTTTGTCAACTTGACACAAGAGGTAGTCATTTGGGAAGAGGAACTCTCAACTGAGAAAATTCCTGCATTGGGACTTTTCTATAGGCAAATCTGACGGCCATTTTCCTGGTTGACGATTGATGTAGGAAGGCCGGCCGACCACGAGTGATGCCAAGGCTGGGAAGGTGGTCCTGAGTTGTACGAAAAAGTAGACTGAGCAAGCCTCGAGAGGAAAGCAATTAAGCAACATTCCTTCACGGCTTCTGCTTCGCTTTCTGACCCCAAATTCCTGTTTTGAGTTTGTACTTTAACTTTCCTCAGTGATACAGTATGACCTCTGGGTTGTTAAGACAGAATAAACCCTTTCCTTCTCAAGCCGCTTTTGGTTGTGATGTTTTACCACAGCAACAGAAACTGGAACTAAGACAGAAAATGGTACCAGGAGTAGGATATTTCTGTGCAGACCTGACTATATTTTGGTGAGAAGAGAGTTGTTCAGACTTCATTTTTATATATCTTAGTACCATCTTCCCAGGTGTGTTCTACCCACAGAGGTTTGGGCTCTTCCACATCAATAATTAATCAAGAAAATGCCCCACAGACTTGTCTAAAGGACAATCTTACAGAGGTATTTTCTCAAGATGTTTTATTCCCAGATGATTCTAGCTGGGGTCAAGTTGACAAAAAAAAAAAAAAAAAAAAAGTAAGAAAGAAACTGACCACCACAAAAATAAACACATAATTAAAAAAAATAGTCTCTGCAAATTAATTAATATTATAGAAAAAAATTCCCTCCTCCTGGGAATAGAATCCAGGGCCTTTTTTGACAGGTATATGCTCTACCACTGAACTACAATGCCAACCCAATAATTCTCTTTTTATTCACTCTTCCTTTTCCATCTTTTTTTGAGATAGGTCCTTATGTAGGTTGGTCTATAACTTGTAGCCTAGGCTGACATCAAATTCATGATCCTCCTGACTCAATCTTCCATACTAGAACTACAAGCATATACCATCATACCAGTCAGCAGTGGTAGAAAGACACAGCCTAGCACTTCTACCAGTAGCCTGAAACACTCGCTGCTTAGGGACCTTTATCTTGACCCACCGGTGACCAGTGTAGAGGAATCAAAATGAATTATAGATTCAACAGAACCAGGGAACTCTGGCTGATATTGCTCAAGAACCATTTCCTGAGTTTCTGTGGTTTGAATAAGAATGGTCATATAGGGGCTGGAGAGATGGCTCAGACGTTAAGAGCACTTGCTGTTTTTCCAAAGGTCCTGTGTTCAATTCCCAGCAACCACATGGTGACTCACAACTATCTATACTGCAATCTGGTGCCCTCTTTCTGGCTTACAAGCACACATGCAGGCAGAATACTGCATACTGTATAAATAATAAATAAATAAATCTTAAAAAAAAAAAGAATGGTCATATATTTGACCATTATAGGTTCATATATTTGAATGCTTGATGCCTAGTTGGTGGAACTGTTTGGGAAGGATTAGGAGGTGTAGCCTTGTGGGAGGAGGGGTGTCACTTGGGGTGGCTTTGAACAATGTGCCATTCCCAGTTAGATCTTTCTCTGTACTCATGATCCAGTTCCATGCCTGCCTGACTGCTGCGATGCTCCTCATCGTGATGGTCATGAACTCTCCAAACCTGTAAGCATTATTAAACTGTTCCTTCTGTAAGTTGCCTTGGTCATGGTGTCTCTTCACAGCAATAGAAAAGTAACTAAGGCAGATTCTCTGAAGCTTTTATTTCAACATAGCTCAGTGTTCAAAGCAGGAACAGAGAAGCAATGGTGAACATACAGAGTAGTTCTCTACTGAACTATTAATAAGGCTTTCTGCCCCAGATGTGCTCAGGGGGGGCAGAAAGTCTCATGCCTAATAGCGGCTGTTTGCACAATATCCTTGAATGCACTAAACTTGCAAAAGGAGACCTGTGGCATTTCCTGGGAAGATGGAAGCATCTTCACAAAGTAGCATCTAAGGGAGCAGAGTAGAACAGTATAGAAAAGTCTATATTATATGCAGGCTACAGACCTTAAGTAAAGCCAGATCCTAGACTACATTACAGAAGAGAATGTCAGGACAACTCAGGGTAAAGTCAAGGCAGCAGATATATGAAATAGTGATAAGAGACAGCATACACTTTAGATTTAAATATGACCTTTAGAGGCACACACCTTTAGTACACACTGAAGACTTGATGCTTCATTTTGCTGTTGTTTGTTTGAGTCTAATGTAGCCATGGCTGGCCTGGAACTCACAGAAATCCACCCTCCTCTGCTTCCCAAGGGATGGGATTAAAGACACATGCCGCCCATGCCTGGTAGGTGAAGGCTTCTTGAGGGAAGGAGTTAGGTGTCCTTCCAATGCTATGTGTATGACTCTGTGGCTGCCCAGGTTCCATTGGTCAAAGGATGTCACTGATAACAAGGTTTAAGGATTATGTAAATTTAAAAATTAAGGAAAAATGTGGTCTGGTCTCCTTATATGTCTTAAAATTTATTTTTGTTAGTGAAATTGGAAAGCATTTCTGTAAGGCACACTGATGAGAGAGGAGAGCTGATACAGTCCAACTCAATGCTACAACATTTTAGCCCTAAGTAAACAGTTTGTCATTATTTTAATTTATTGTTCTTACCTTTTAAAAGTTTTTGTTTTTTAATAATTTATTTTTATTTTATGTGCATTGGTGTTCTGCTTGCATGCATGTCTGTGGGAGGGTGTTAGATCACAGAATTACAGACAGTTGTGAGCTGCCATGTGGGTGCTGGGAATTGAACCTGGGTTCTCTGGAAGAGCAGTCGATGATCTTATCTCTCCAGTGTTCCCCTTTTCAATTTTTTCTCTTTCTTTCTTTCTTTAGCCCTGGATGTCCTGGAACTCTCTTTATAAACCAGGCTGGCTTTCAATACACAGAGATTCACCTGCCTTTGCCTCCTGAGCTCTGGGTTTAAAGGCATACACCCCCATGTCCAGCTTTAATTTTTGATATTAATCACAATTTTCCCCTTCCCTTTCCTCACTCCAAACACTCCTATATACCCTTCCTTTTCTCTTTCAAATAATAGTTTCTTTTTCATTGTTATTGAAATATATATATATATATATATATATATATATATATATATATATATATA